TCAACAAATAGTGCTGGGATGACTGGATAACTACAGGCAAAACAATTAAGTTGAACTCATCTCACACCATATACAAAAATTAACTCAAAAAGGATGAAAAGCCTAAAGGTAAGAGCTAAAATTATAAAATTCTTCAAAGAAAACAAGAAAACATAGGGATCTTTATGATCTTGGATTTGGCAAAGGGTTCTTAGATATGAGAACAAAAATATGAACAACAAAAGAAAAAATAGACAAATTGGACTTCAAAATAAAAACTTTTTTTTTTTTTTTTTTTTCTTTGAGACCGGGTCTCACTCTGTTGCCCAGGCTGGAGTACAGTGGTGTGATCTGGGTTCACTACAGCCTCCGCCTCCAGGGCTCAAGTGATGCTCCACCTCAGCCTTCCGAGTAGCTGGGACTACAGGCCCGCACCACTGCACCTGGCTAATTTTTCTATTTTTTTTGTAGAGATGGGGTTTTACCATGTTGCCTAGGCTGGTCTCAAACTCCTGGGCTTAAGCAATCCTCCCACCCTGGCCTCTCAAAGTGCTGGGATTACAGGCATGAGCCACCATGCCTAGCCAAAATAAAAAACTTTTGTGCTTTAAAGGACAGCACATGGATCTTATTGAAACATTCTTTTTTAGCTGGTTTCTTTGATAATGCTCCAGCAAGGAGGGTGGAGGTGTGGGGCTGGTCAGCACGTTACTGCTGGCTGGGGGTAGAAGTCCAGTTGGGTGCTGTACTCTTCGGGCCTACTTGGCCTCTGTTGGAGGTGCTCTTCATTACTTCTGGGTGGAGATGGGCGTTCCAGGTCTTCACTAAGCCTCCACCAATGTCTCCGTGACAGGGAGGGCCTCAGTCTGCTCCTGAGGTGGACCTCTCTGACATCACAGAGGTAGGGTGTGTCGCCTCCACCTCATGACTTTCTGAGTGGTTGTCAAAGTCCTGCCTCTTCACTAGGCTTCCTCTGGCACCACACTGGTGGTGGCAGGGTGGTGGTGGGTGGCACGGGACACCTCATTATAGTCTGGCAAAGGTGGAAATCTAAGTTTCCCACTTGGCTTCCACTCAGGTGATGGGTTGCGGCCACGTTTTTTTTCTGCCATGTTTGGCACAAGTGTAGAAGTTATTGTCTAAAGGTTTTCTGTCTTACTAGGCTTCTCTTTTTCAGGTCCTTTGGCTAAGGAGAGCAGGCTTCTGTGGGAGCTGCCAGCTTCTTCAGCTCTAAGTGCAGTATAGATGAGATAGAAAGACGATCTAGAAGATGCACTGCTGTTCCTTAGGCCCTGAGTTTCCTAGCCAGTCTGCCTTCTCTCCACCTGTTAGAATCTTCATGTTTGTTTTCAAGTCGTAGACTCTTTTTTATTTATATTTATTTAAAAATTGAGACAGGGTCTCATGATATTGTCCAGGCTGGTCTCAAACTCCTGAGCTCAAGTTATCTTCCCCGCCTCAGCTTCCCAAAGTGCTGGGATTACAGTCATGAACCATGGCTCCCAGCCCAAGTCACAGACCCTTAAAACCTGAAAAGATCTTGGAGATGATGGATTTAATCATCTGCTTTTAGAGTAGGAGAAAATGAACCCAAAGTTACAAAATAGTTGCAATGTTGGGAGATTCCAGTGTTCAAGCTCTTTTCCCTACATCATGTTGCCTCAGTCAGATGGTTTTGTTTCATTTTATTACATGTGAACTCAAATTAATTGAGACTTTCCTCCAGATGCTCAAATTTAGGAAAAAAATTAGTATTAAATTTTGTCCAGTAAGCAATTAATCTTCATTTGTAAATTAAACTTAGGAATCATTTTTCAATTGCATAAGTTTGAATCAAAAACTTTTTAAATAAAAAGTTATTGAACATCTACTTTATACAAAACAGAGGGCCAGTAGACTTTGTAAAATGGGCCAGGTTACCGACCCACAGGTAATGTTCCATCTTAGAAATCTGTGACATGCAAACATGTCTCAGCTGTTTTTATTTAAAGACTAATTATTAACTTGATGTTGTTCTGTTGTGAAACTTGGCTGTTTCTACATGGTGTTTTGTTTCTTCAATTTTCTACTAGAGTACTTGTCTTGTTTTAAATCTTTCATTGATGTATGACTCCACTGATACAACTGCCAATGGAAGGTATTCATTTTACTTATTTAAATAGTTGGGACACAACTGAGTTATCCAAGAAGATTTCCTAAATTGCTTCATAAACATATTCAAAGGACTTATTTTTTTTCCTTCCCAAGTATTAGGCAGACACCAAATATAAAGCTATATTGCTTAGTGTGTCAAAACTCCATTCTGTAATTAGTAACTTGTTTTCCCACTTGCAAGTTAGAAAGGTCTTTTAAAAGGCACAAATTCTAACAGCTCTAGGTAGCATTTATTTTTGTCAAAATGACATTAAAACACCTTTTTCTTTTGACAAAAGACCATATTTGCCCATTGTACAACAATCTGAAAATATTGACAAGCAAAAATGTTCTGAAAACATTTATAATTTCACCATTGGAGACTTAATAACTTGATGTATAGCTTTCCAGACCTTTTTCTAGGACATATGAAACTTATTATATATGTAGATGAGTGTTTTAGTTAAAAAGACCCTCACTTTGCGCACTTTAACAGTATTTAGCACAGGCTCTGGGGCTCTTAGGCTTTTTGGGAAAAAGGAAGCATTATTAAACATAAAATTACTTTTTGGGTTTGTGTTATTGTTTTTTAATAATGTTAACATTTTAGATCTATGTAGGAGTAAGCTTTTAGACTATATTCATTTTATACTATTCTACTTTGGGAGTAACAGGCTTTCAACCACAGGAAACAGTTCTGACAACTAGTTGAGGATAAGAATGAAAGCAGGTGGTAGAGTGAGACTGGTTTCTAAAGTAGTCATTGCTTAGGATTATTTCTTTGCTATTTACCATGTATAAGCACTAATATTTTATTCTATTAGCTATGATCAAGAAGTTAAGTGCTTCTTAAGCCCTCCAAGGATTTTCTTTTTTAAAAAATAGTATTTATTTACCTGATTATAAAAAAATGCTAATCATAGAGAATGTGAAAAAATGTTGAAGTGAAAAGAAAATTTAAGTGGCCCATAATCCTACTATTGAGCAATAACCACAATTAACATTTTGATGTAGTTGTTTATAGTCTCTTATCAATGCTATATATGTTACTATTGTTGATTTAGATTAAGTTTTCCAGTTTCGTCATTATATATGCCACTGCAGTGAATATCTTTTATATATACATATTGGTTGAAATTTTTTGAGACTGAGTCTCTTGCCCAGACTCTGTTGCCCAGGCTGGAGTGCAGTGGTGTGATCTTGGCTCACTGCAACCTCCGCCTCCCGGGTCCAAGTGTTTCTCCTTTCTCAGTCTCCCAAGTAGCTGGGACTACAGGTGCCTGCCACCACACGAGCTAATTTTTGTATTTTTAGTGGAGAGGGGGTTTTGCCATGCTGGCCAGGCTGGTCTTGAACTCCTGACCTCAAGTGATTTGCCTGCCTTGGCCTCCCAAAATGCTGGGATTACAGATGTGAGACACCATGCCTGGCCTTGGTTAAATTTTTTACATTTTAAGTTTTTTCTTATTTTTGAGATGAGGTCTCACTCTATCACCCAGGCTGGAGTGCAGTGGTGCAATCTCCACTTACTACAACCTCAGCCTCCCAGGTTCAAGTGATCCTCCCACCTCAGCCTCCCAAGTAGCTTGAACCATAGGCACACGCTACCAAATCTGGCTAATTTTTTGTGTTTTTGGTAGAGACGGGGTTTTGCCATGTTGCCCAGGCTGGTCTCAAACTCCTGGGTTCAGGTCATCCCCCTGCCTCAGCCTCCCAAAGTGCTGGAAGACCAATCGTAGAGAATGATTACAGGCATGAACCACTGTGCCTGGCCAAGAAAATATTTTCTAGGAAAACACAAGGTTGTGCAGAATTCCTAAAGTGAAATCCAATCAGTCACATCCTATTTTGAGGACTGTGGAGTTTATTATTATAAGAGGGGCTGTTAAATTGACCGACAGAAACATACGTGTATTGGGCCGGGGTGGCAACTAGCATCAGTTTAACCATTCTATGAAAGCCAGTTTACCACTTGTGAGAAAAACTGAGTTATGCTGTATCCTGTTTCTACATATGTGTGGACAATCATGATTGTTCAGAATACCAATTTTATGAATTTTTGATTCACAAAATTTCATTAAAGCCTTAAATTCAAGATGTTTCTGAAACTGGTAAAACTTCAAAGTGGAACATTATAAAATGAAACAGTCGTCAGTATACTGTCTTTAAACAGTCAAACACAGCCTTGGTATAATTGAAAATACAAACTTCTAAGTTCTGCTGCACAGCTTGTAATCACCATCCTTAGTACCATACATAGTATATTATACAATCCTTAGTACCATACATAGTATATTATACATATGAAAGGTGACTTTTGTGCATACCCAATAGCAAAAGTGTCTGATCCGTTCAGTGCCCTGCACTTTGAAGATGTTTTTGTTAGATAGGTGTGGTATCACATACTTCCAATGTTGTTTCCAATTCTGTGTATGCTTGGTTGATTTCCAAGACAGACTTTCATGACCCTAACCCATGGTAGCTTCCTGCTTGATATTTATATACATCTGTACTGAAGTTTGGAAAGGTCACTTGAATGAACAACGCTTGACAGTTGTGTTATAAATAAAGGCATATCTTCATACATAAACTTTCTTTTTGAGACAGTCTTACTCTCTTGCACAGGATGGACTGCAGTGGTACAATCTCAGCTCACTGCAACCTCTGCCTCCCGGGTTCAAGCAATTCTTGTGCCTCAGCCTCCCGAGTAACTGGGATTACAGGCATGTGCCACTATGACCAGCTAATTTTTGTATTTTTTGTAGAAATGGGGTTTCACCATGTTGGCCAGGCTGGTCTTGAACTCCTAGCCTCAGGTGATCCACTTGCCTCAGCTTCCCAAAGTGGTGGGATTACAGGCGTGAGCCACTGCACCCAGCCTTTAAAAATACTTTCATGTATGAAATCATAATGTGGTTTATTTGACGAGTTTTATAACATCACTCATTCTGCATGATTGAAAAAAACCAACTTAACTGGGTTATAAGTAACATTAAATGTACCCATTTTAACTGTACAGTTTGACACACTTAGATAAATGTACACACCTGCATTCTGTATGCTTTGGGGGAGACAGGTGACCTGAGTTCAATCCTAAACTGATAATTTACTAATCATGTGACCTTGGGCAAATTACCTTAACTTCTGAAAGCCCAGGTAAAAATCCCACTTGATAATAAAATCGAGTCCAGGATAATAAAATAAAAATCAAGTGGGAGTACTTTTCACTCTGTAACCAACTACTGCTGAATTATTCTTGCCCCTTTTTTTGAAGAGTCTCACCCTGTCACCCAGGCTGGAGTGCAGTGTTGTGATCTCTCCTGGGCTCAAGCGATCCTCCCGTCTCAGCCTCCGAAGTAGCTGGGATTACAGGCGTGCACCACCACGCCCAGCTTGAGATAGCTTCTGTAATTATTCTAGCACAATGCTAAGCACTTGCAGCAGGTGAGTCGTTTGTTTCCTTTAAACTCCCTAGAAGAAAAGTGAATGCAAGTCTCTTCAGTTTTGGAGAACACAGGCAAACAACTGTATGTGCTAAATCACCTGACTTCATTTTGATCACAAGGGCTTCCACCAGCCAATGAATACTTGCTATGAATGCTACCCGATGTTGGGCCTAAAGAAAATCAGACAGTGGTTTCATGTCATTTTTTTTTTTTTAATCACGTCTGATATATTTCATTGGAGCTTCCCCCCCCCCAATACCCAGAGATATCCAAAGAGAACTCTGAAAACACCAATACCCCAATTTCCTGCTTTGTGCCTGCATTTCTCTAAATATTTCCATCTGAACTTGGTTTGCGAGTATGAGGTTAGATGTACTGTAATTACCAGGAATCCTGAGGACTGTAATTAAAAGGCAGTTTGAAATGACTGACACTTTGATGATGATTCTAGCCATTTCTATTTTCTGACAACGAATCTTCCTCAAAAAATTTTAGTGCCCCGTCATGCTCTTGCTCCCCAATTTTTCTTCGGTTAGGCACTCAGTAATTCAGCAGCATTCTTTTCTTTCCACAATTCATCTCCCTACTCCCCTTCTCATCACTTGGGTCCGGCCGGTGAGCCAGGAGGAAGAAACCCAAAGGGATTTTCAGCGTCTGCACCCCCCAACAGGTCTCACCGCAAAGACTACAGGGGAGAAGGTGACTCAACCCCCATCCCTGGACGGGGCCCTTATGGGAAAGAACCCCGTGTTTACTTCGGGCCATTCTATGCGGCATCCACGAGGTCTGTGGGCCAGCGGCAGGGCGTGCCCCTCTCCCCCAAAAAAGAGGAGAGGCAGGAGGAAGAGGAAGTGGCCGCACAGGCGGAGGCCTTGTGAAGCCTCAGTACCGGGCTTGGTCAGGTCCTACGGGGCGTGGCCTCAGAAACGAAAGTGAAGGGCGGGGCTGAGGCGCAGGAACCAGGAGGGGCCTCATGGGGGGAGGAGACTCATGGGGGCGGGGTCCAAGGGAGGCAGGGCGGGGCGGGGCGGGGCCGCGGCCAGAGAAACACCTCCTGGTTTCCCTTGAGAGCGTCACCTGCCTGTAAGCCCCCCGCGCTTCCCTTCCTCTCCCACAGCCTACATGACCAGTGTGGGTCGCCAGCCTGAGCGAGGGTGCTCAGAATGGTTTCTGCTTTCATTTTCACTTTCCACTGCCGCTGCCGACTTGGAGGGGAGAAAGGGGCAGGGCAGACCCTTGTGTCGCCCCTCCGCCCTCAGGCTGGCTCCCACGCGGGGGCACAGGCAGGGGGTCTGCGCTGTGTGGGCAGGGCGTCTTCAGGGCTACCCCTCAGCAGTGCCACCCTAACCTCACGGAGATTCCCACCCCTGAGGCAGTCCAGAATAAAGTGCACACTGGCTGGGGTCATGATAAATAATAGACGTATTCCCAGGCCTCAGCTATCTAAAAATATTCTTCCAGCTTAACGGGTTAGTTGCCCCCCTACCTGATTTTTTGTTTTGTTTTGTTTTGTTTTTTGTATTTTGTTTTTTGCTTTAAGTGGAAAACTGGACCCTGAGAAATACGTACGGCCAGGCTAGCTTGTGAGCAGCAGGACATGACACACCCTGGGAAGCGAAGACAAGGTTCTCCCTCCTTCCCAATTGCTCATATGTGACATGGGTCCTCTCTCAGCAGCTCCCTGCACATGATTTTTTCAGAGAGACTATTCCATTTCTCTAGTTTTGTGATACTCTCTTAACTGAATTCCTTTACTTTAGCTTAAGTCTTGATTGTGTCACCTACCCCAATGTAAAGTCTAAAGGACCAAAGGAGACTAAGCCTTTAGAGGAAAGAAAGAAAACTATGTAGTTGATTTTTATGTATTCAGTTTAACCAGCCAACTTCTGTGCTACACGGTGGGAAAACAAAGACATATGACACAGAAAAGTAACTATACTCCAGCATTATACATTTAATAACAAAAACATATGGTAGACACAAAGGTAGCATAGGTGAGGGAGTGACTAATTTCATGAGATGTGGGGAATGGGAGCCTAAGAAAAAATTTTGGCCGGGCGCAGTGGCTAGCGCCTGTAATCCCAGTACTTTGGGAGGCCGAGGTGGGCAGATCACTTGAGGTCAAGAGTTCGAGATCAGGCTGGTCAACATAGTGAAACCCCGTTGGTGGGGCGTGCCTGTAGTCCCAGCTACTGGGGAGGCTAAGGCAGGAGAATTGCTTGAACCCGGGAGGCGGAGGTTGCAGTGAGTCGAGATCGAGCCATTGCACTCCAGCCTGGGCGAAGAAGCTAGACTCTGTCTCAAAGAAACAAACAAAAAGTTTCAACCCGGAGTGAGGCCCATCTGAGGGGGTATTTGAAGCACCAACAGGAATATAATAAAAGAAAGCCCCTGGCCGGGCGCAGTGGCTCACACCTGTAATTCCAGTACTTCGGGAGGCCAAGGCAGGTGGATCGCGAGGTCAAGAGATGAAGATCAGCCTGGCCAACATGGTGAAACCCCATCTCTACTAAAAATACAAAAATTAGCCAGGCGTGGTGGCGGGTGCCTATAGTCCCAGCCACTCAGGAGGCTGAGGCAGGAGAATGGCGTAAACCCGGGAGGCAGAGCTTGCAGTGAGCCGAGATCGCGCCACTGCACTCCAGCCTGGGCGACAGAGCGAGACTTTGTCTCAAAAAAAAAAAAAAAAAAAAAAAAAAAAAAAAAAAAAGAAGTAGAACTACTAAGTGACTACAGAATGCTGATTGACAACACAGAAAAGAAACATAAGGAGGTGCAGAATTCCCTTTGTTTTTCTGTCTTTCTCTGTGTTTCTTTCTCATCTTTCTTCTTTTTCTCCCTTTCTTTCTCTTTCCACAGGTCCCGTTCTATCACCCAGGTTGGAGTGTAGTGGCACTATCATTTAGTTCCCTGCAGCCTTAAACTCCAGGGCTCAAGCAATCTTCCTGCCTCAGCCTCCCTAGGAGCTGGGTGTCCAGGCGTGGGCCACCACGTCTGGCTAATTTAAAATTTTTTTCTCGCTGGGCGCGGTGGCTCACGCCTGTAATCCCAGTACTTTGGGAGGCCGAGGCGGGCGGATCACGAGGTCAGGAGATGGAGACCATCCTCGCTAACGTGGTGAAACGCCATCTCTACTAAAAATACGAAAAAATTAGCGGGGCGTGGTGGCGGGCGCCTGTAGTCCCAGCTACTCAGGAGGCTGAGGCAGGAGAATGGCGTAAACCCGGGAGGCGGAGCTTGCAGTGAGCCGAGATCGCGCCACTGCACTCCAGCCTGGGCGACAAGAGCCAGACTCCGTCTCAAAAGCAAACAAAAAAATAAAAATAAAAATAAATAAAAATTAGGCCGGGCACAGTGGCTCACGCCTGTAATCCCAGCACTTTGGGAGGCTGAGGCGGGCGGGTCACGAAGTCAGGAGATCATGACTATCCTGGCTAACACGGTGAAACCCCGTCTCTACTAAAAATACAAAAAATTAGCTGGGCATGGTGGCACACGCCTGTAATCCCAGCTACTGGGGAGGCTGAGGCAAGGTAATCGTTTGAACCCGGAGTCATAAACTATGACTATAAAAAGTCATAGTTTACATCTAGCCTCATTCCCCTCTCAAATAATATACCTGAATGTGAGCCAGGGACTTAGTGAAGTCATAAGATTTGTAGCTTTAGATTTATAAAAGTGGGGAATATACCGTACGTATGGCTTTGTGATCTGCTTTTATTATTTATTTTTTGAGATAGGGTCTTGCTCTGTCAGACAGGGTTCAAACGCCTCCCGGGTTCAAACGATTACCTTGGTAATCAAAATCGTTTGAAATCGTTTGCGGTGAGCCGAGATTGCGCCACTGCACTCCAGCCTGGGAGACAGAGCGAGACTCCCTCTCAGAATAAAAAACAAAAATTTCTAGAGAGGGGTCTGGATATGTTACCCAAGCTAGTTTCCAACTCCCGGGCTCAAGCGATCCTCCTGCTTCCCAAAGTGCTGGGATTACAGGCATGAGCTGCTGTGCCTGGCCATTACCTTAATTTTAAATTGGCAGCAAAGAGATTAGTTGAAAAATGGGGTGAAGAGGTAGAGAATTCCTTTTACTCAAATCATAAACATTACAGAAAAAAAAAAAAAAAAAAAGCCAGTCCTTTGTAATTCCCACTCCAGGAAAGACCAATGTTGTCATATTGGCATATATTCTTCCAGGTTATGTATTCATAACTAACATTGTTTTCTATAGTAATGGAATCTCTCTGCATATACTGGAGGTGGTAGAGGAAAGTGGTGGAGTGTTCTGACTCTAGCAATCTGGTGTCATCTGAGCTGGAATGCAGGGTCCACCACTTCCTAGTTCCATCACCTTGGGAGGTTATCTTCACCTCGGTTTCCCCCTCTGCAAAATGGCACCATATCTGTACCAATTGCCAATTGAGATTTTAAATGGCTGAGAGTACTTTTTGTGCATGGGAAGGAACTCATAAAGCTGCTTGCATCTCAGTTGATATTTAATTTATTACGGAAGTAAATGTTAAGCCTAACTGTTATTAAACGTTTAACCACATTTCTGAAATTTACGTGTAAATCTATCAATTTATTTATTTATTTTTTTGAGACTGAGTTTTGCTGTTTTGTCCAGGCTCGAGTGAAGTGGTGTAATCTCAGCTCATTGCAACCTCCGCTCCCGGGGTTCAAGTGATTCTCCTGCCTCAGCCTCTCCAGTAGCTGGGATTACAGGCACCCGCCACCACACCTAATTTTAGAGACAGGGATTTGCCATGTTGGCCAGCCTGGTCTCGAACTCCTGACTTCAGGTGATCCACCCGCCTTGGCTCCCAAAGTGCTAGGATTACAGGCGTGAGCCAGGGCGCCTGGCCTATCAATTCATTTTAAAACAAAACACTTTCACTTGTGCTTTGATTAATGTTCAGTGAGCTTATTAATTTAACATATTAAATTTCCCATTTAAACACTATTTATAAAGATAATAGAATTTTCTTAAGCATTGTAAAGTTATAAAAGCATACAGATTTAACAAATCAAATTCTCTTACATATTAAAACAGTTTATAAACTTCATTTATTAAATTCCCTTAAATATGTCAAATCTACACATTGCTGTAACTGATGGTCCCAGGTGCTTCATGCCTGTACCAAAGCAGATTGATACTGTACTCTGTAAATCACCTTGCCCCATTCTCAGCCCAGTCCTGAGCACTTATAGACTGAGTATTCCTGTAGGACTCCTCCTGAGCACTGAAAGGGCATTGGTTAGGAGCATAATAAATAATATTTAAAGAGATGATGAACAGCCTGAATAGAATTCCTCACACAGGGCAGAGAAGGCCATTCCAGGCAGTGAAAATCATACAACCCGAGTTACTGAATTGCTTTGGGAAAAGTCATAGTTTACATCTAGCCTCATTCCCCTCTCAAATCATATACCTGAATGTGAGCCAGGGACTTAGTGAAGTCAAAAGATCTGTAGCTTTAGATTTATAAAAGTGGGGAATATACCGTACGTATGGCTTTGTGATCTGCTTTTATTATTTATTTTTTGAGATAGGGTCTTGCTCTGTCATCCAGGCTGGAGTGCAGTGGCATGATCTCAGATCACTGCAACCTCCTCCTCCTGGGTTAAAACAATTCTCCTGCCTCAGCCTCCTAGTAGCTGAGACTATAGGCGTGTGCCACCACACCTGGCTAATTTTATGTATTTTTGGTAGAGATGGGTTTCACCATGTTGGCCAGGCTGGTCTCGAACTCCTGACCTCAAGTGATCTGCCCACCTCAGCCTCCCGAAGTGTTAGGATTACAGGTGTGAGCCACATCATGCCCGACCTGTAATCTGTTTTTATTTTTATACATTTTAAAACAAGTAAGCACCTTTTTACGTCAATAGACTTCTATATTGTTGTTAATGGCTGAATACTTTATATGAATCTACAATTTTTTTTCCTTTTTAAGGAACATTTAATAATGTTTTTCCAGGATAAATCCCCAGAAGTGGAATC